TGAGCAGCTTTCTGCCATTAATATTCATGGCAGATCTCAGTAAAATTGCAAGTAATAGTGCAGGAAGTATGACCCAGACTAAGTACGTTCTTCCCTTTGAATAGGAGTTTATGAGTGATTCATCTGATATTCACAAATTCAGCAACATGAACTTCCTTAAGTTTGATAAACCATCCATCTATCTCCATATAACAGTAGAGGACCTAGCTCACTATCCGGATATCATATAGTTCATATATTATGATACTGTCATATCATCTCCTCCTGTAGTGAACCTCAGTGTTCTTTGTCCCATAAGTGCTTATTGCTCCTGTTTGCTCAAATTCTCACAAAATCCTGCCCATGATTGATAAGTAGACATACATCTTATCCTAGTTGCTTCAAATATCTGAAGTGTGTATGGAAGAAGGGGTATGGACACAAGATAGAAGAAATGGTGCATTAATAGAAGGGAGGCTATCTAACATTCTTGGAAATCACCCAAATAAAACTCTGGATGAATTGTTCCACATAGCTCTTGGGTTTGGCTTGACAACGTTGCTAGAAAATAAAATTTTATTATCCTGTACCTAGGAGCATCTTTCAGAACTCAGTGGGATTTGGTGCTGATCAAACATCCATGACATCAGAACCAGGCATTCTCATGTAAACTCTACCTCCCCACCCTATTTATTTTTCTAGCTCTGCTCTCTGAGTTAGGTTTCCTGCAATGCCCTGGTCTTTTCTTTTCTTTTTTTCTTTAATTTATATGCCGCCCTTCTCCGGAGACTCAGAGCAGCTTACAATGCGTTAAGCAATAGCCTTCATACTTTTGTATATTTATACAAAGTCAGCTTATTGCACCCACAATCTGGGTCCTCATTTCACCTACCTTTGAAAGGATGGAAGGCTGAGTCAATCTTGAGCCTGGTGAGATTTGAACTTGCAATAATTGCAAGCAGCAGATGTTAATCTGTTAATAACAGTGCTTTAGTCCACTGTACTACAGGCTCTTTCTTTTTTACAAGAAAGTCCTTGCCAAATCAGCCCTATCTTATTTTTTTTTCATTAAGTAACTTCCTTTATTCACAGCAGTTCTTTAATTATGATATATCTTGATTTCAGCAACCAATTTGACTAAGTACCTCATTAAAAGGGTGGTCTGGATGGTAGAACATAGGAGGAGGTGGGGCTGATATTGCGGCGATATGATACATCTCCACGGGGCTCCATGGCATCGCACTGAATTCGACCTACCAGGAGGTTCTGAGGGACCCAAATCAACCTGGAGGGGTGATAAAGACAGAGGACATTCCCCTGATCACAAGGAGACTGCATACTCCTTATTTGACATAGAGAAAGCTCTCAATCCGGCGGGAAGAAAAAGACGGCCATTGTGTGCCTGACTGGGGTGTAACAGCCAACCAATGTAGCAAGCATAGAATGTGAAGAACAGTGTGATCGATCTGGGTGAGATTTTTCCAACTCCTGTTGTGGAATTTACCCCCTTAAAATGAACCTGGGAGAAAGTGGGACTCAAAGAAGAAGAGTGGAATTGTTTGTTTTCCACCCCCAAGAATAATGGCAAGCAAACTTGCAAACTATTTATAGAACTGGGAATAGAGAAAAGAGGATTTTTTAAAAAAGAGAAGAAATTTAAAAGCTAGGAAGTTGGACTGGGGATTTAAAATACAAGATAGATTAAGTTGAAAACTTTTTGGAATATGAAATTTGGACCCCTGGGACTTTTAAAAAACTTTGGACCAGATGATACAATTTAAGCTAACAAAAGAAAAAGAGGCAGAAATAGAGCAACAGTGACATCTACTGGAGAAAACTGCAGAGAAGCAAAAGTAGTGAAAGTATGACCTTGACTATATATTGAAGATAAACTTGTTTGTTACAGTAACACCTGCTCTAGCAAATTGTTTATAAAAGACAGCAGAGACAGAGAGCAAAACACTGTAACTTTTTTAACAGTGTAGGTCTTTGAACTTAGATGAAAACTAAACAGAGAAAGTAAATAGAAGCTGGGAAATAGCAAAGAACTTTCTTTTTTCCTTCCTCTTTGAACTTTTTTTTTCTTTTAGGTGATTTATCAACCTGACTGGTTAAATTTTGGGGCTTGGTGGGCCTAAGTGGATTACAAATTTATCAAATTTACTAAATCTATCAAGAGAAGAAAGGATTAGGGTTTAAAGAACCTGAAGATTAACATGAATGGTATAACATAGAATAACAGAGTTGGGAGGAAATTTGAAGGTTTTCTAGTCCAACCCCCTGCTCAAACAGGACACCCTCCACCATTTTGGGCAAATGGCTGTCCAATCTCTTCTTGAAAACTTCCAGAGATGGAGCACCCTCTACTCATGGAGTCAAGTCATCAGAGTGATTGTTCCTCTGTCAGGAAATTTCTCCTTAATTCTAGCTTTGATAAACTTTTGTACATTACTTCTTATCCTGCCCTCAGGTTGGAGATTATATCAATCCCCTCTTCTCTGTGACACTCCTCAAATACTGGAAGACTGCTATCATGTCACTCAGTGTCCTTCTCTTTATTAGACTAGATGCCTATTTCCCATAATCATTCATTGTATGGTTTAGCTTCCAGTCCCCTAATCATCTTTGTTGCTCTTTTCCGAACTTTTTCTAGAGTCTCAACATCTTTTTATACCAGTACTACTGTTGATGTAGTTTAGGACTCCATTGGCTTTTTTGGCAACTTGTCAACTCAACCACTCATAAGTGGTTGCTTATTAGGACACCTAGTCTGCTCTCATAATCACTATTGTTGAGCCAGATACCACCTATTCTATTCCTGCGCATTTTATTTTTCTTGCCTAACTATAAGACCTTACTTTTCTCACCACTGAATTGTATTGTGTTGGATAAAATCCATTTCTCAAGTCTGTCAAGATCCTTCTGTATCTTGAGTCTATCTTCTAAAGATAAACCACCAGCTTGGTGTCATGTGCAAATTTAATGAGTTTGCCTTCTATCCTGTTCTCTAAATAATTTATGAAGATGTTGAAGACTACTGGGCCCAAGACAGAACCTTGAGGTGTCCCAATGAATGCTTTCCTCCATTTAGATGTAGTTTCATTGAGGACTCCACATTGAGTGCAGTTGGTCAGTCAGTTGTGAATCCATCTTGTGGTGATGCTGTCTGTCCCACATTTTCTATCTTGCCAAGAATTAGGCTGTGGTCTACTTTATCAAATGCTTTACTGAAGTCCAAGTAAACTATGTCCACAGTATTTCTCTGATACACCAATTTAGTCACTTTGTCAAAGAAGGCAATAAGGTTTGTCTGATATAATCTGTTTTTAACAAACTCATGCTTGCTTCTAGTAATAGCTTTGCTCATTTCTAGCTGCTTGCAAAGCCACCACTTGATTATCTTTTCTACGATTTTCCCAAGTATTGATATAAGGGTGACTGGTTTGAAGTTTCCTGTATCCATAAAACTGAGACCACCTCAACTATTTGCAGACCTCTAGTAGTTTCCCAGGAGTTTTGAAATATTTTGTTCAGTGGTTCTGAGATCATGTCTGCCAGCAGCTTCAGAACTCTGGGATGTATGTAATCCATTTGGTCTTAGTGATTTGAATTTGTCTAGAGTAGATAGGTGGTCTCTTAATATTTTCTTTCCTCTCTTGCTATATTTTCTTCTACAGTATTGCTTTTGATAGGCTGGACTATTTTCCTATAAGAAAAGATGAAAGAAACAGGGAAATCTTTTTATCTACAAAGCAGAGCCTCTAAAAGCCTATAAAGACTCACGAGTAAAAACAGTTCCCCTCCTCTTCTCCCTGGGCTCTCAGGTGGTACAGAACAAAAAAAAACCCATGTGAGTACATTTCCAAGAAGGGAATCAACACCACCTTAAGCCCAACCAGATCTTGGTAAGACATACCAGGACAGTGTCTTTCTCCAAAATAAAATCATGGAGGAGGGCAACTATATAACAAACCAATGTGTTATTCAAAAGCAAAAACTTAAATCCAGCACTACCAAGGATTAAATTGCCAGGCATACTGTTTCAGAAGCTGAAGGCCAGAAAATGAAAGATCTATTCTCTGCTTTGATTTTTAATCAATACTGTACTGTATTTCCCCATAAACATCTAACTGTATCTCAGTCTGATGAAAACCAAAAGGGTAAAACTGTGTAGTTAGATTATGACAATAGTGCTCCATTTTCCTGGAATTACGCTTCTGCTTCAGAAGTGAATGAAATCCAAGTATCCTTAAATGCTATGAGGAAGATGGGCTCATGTCCAAAACTCATATTTCAGCTTTTGAAACAGTTTTTGGCCATTTGTGCAACATTACCACACATACAGAAAAATGCTGTTGTCAGTCTGCCCCCCTGAACCTTCTCTGCAAACACTGCAAAGAATGATAATGGTATACATAACAGTTTCCACTCTTGTTCTACAATTATAGTTAACTGTTTGTGCCATTTAGACTGGCAAAAACAGGGTAGATTTTGATCCCTGAAGAGTTATCATACCTTGATCCAAATTTCTTGGCGCATGTGGTGAGCAGTTTGCCGTTAAATCTGTTCCTGTAGTAAGATGAGAGGAATAATTAACCTAGAGTGGGTGGTCTGAAGGTAAAGCAGGCAGTTAGTCTTAATACACATTCAGATTGAGGTGCTGTTTCTGAAAGTGTAATATCCCATGCCAAAATCTCAACCCAAGTCCTTGGGCATTTTGAATAAATCAATAGAAATCCTAATGAACATCTCTCTTCCAGAGGTGGTGGAAGCCTAAAGGTAGCCTATACAATTTAGTGTGTACAACCCAGAAGGAATTTGTGGGTTTCAGCTGCCAAACTGGAACTGCTCACAGGGATTGAAGGAGACAAATAAGAATAATCAAGGACTGAAAACCTCCCTTAAACATATGGTTTAAAAATCACACAAGTTGTCAGTGGAGAGATAAAGGTGGGAAGCTGTAAATTTTCATCTGATCTGGCATCTCATTCTCCATTTACTTTTTGTTTCTTTTCTCTTAGAAATAACAGCAAGAAAAGTTGTTTCTGAAGATATAATTGCTATGAGACATTTACTGTCAAACCCCAAAGCCCTGGAAGGGTAGGAGCCTCTGCACTGGTGATGGGGGATGAAGAGACCCAGAGGCTGCAGCAGCGTGCCGACGAATGCCAAGGACCAGCTGATCAGCAGAGAGTGAGCAGTGCAGCTGGGGTTTGGAGCTCCAGAGACAGGCTGACAATCAGCTGGTCGATGCAGCAGTAGCAACGGGCCAACGGTCAGCTGTTCCAGGCCACAGAACGGCCGGGTGGCAATCAATTGGTCATTCCAACACACAGCTCACAATGGGGCAAGGACAGTGCCAGCGGAAGGGCATGGCTTGCCTAGATAACTTTACATCTTTGCTGCATTTGCTGTTGGAACTCATTGCGTGCCAGAGTCTGGCTAAATAAATCCAGTTAGCCTCCATGCAAGTGGCATCTTAGTGCTGGTGTAGATCTAGAACTCACACTCTTGAGATCTATTTTAAATTTTCCTAGGCTGCCTTTTTCAGAACAATCAATTTGCAAGGCATACAAGCTAGCACCATGTTTCTCATATACCTCTGCCTTTGAGCCATACTTGCAAAAATTGTACATAGTCTACATAATAAAAAATAAACTCACCACATCTTATATGACACCACAATAATATACATCCTTGTGCAAATGCAAAGAAAATTCCATCATTATATATCTGTTCAGGTGTGTAAACATTGGGAGGTACCAAAATTAAATAGAAGAAATAAACTGAAAATAAAGAAGAGGTGGTAATGGAATAAAATACTTCATAGTAATGAGAAAATAATTCTGATATACTGGACAGCTTAAATCAGATCTGATTGGATTGAAATTGCCTATTAGATTAGATTTTCATTCTAAGTAAACAGTTATGAAAATGAAATAAATTGATTCATCTTGTACCTGTTTGATTCAATAATTTGATCTAAGTAATCAAGCCAGTTCAAAAAGGTGATTCAATCAAATTACCTTCAGATCAAATTTCCTAACTGAATCTTGCATACTCCTATTGAACATATTTTAAATGATAGCTACTTATTATATCCAGATAGTTTTATACTAATTTCTTCAAATATGAGAAAGAGTGAGTTATTGCTTACATTTCTTGCCTGTAAAGGATACATTTATTAATTTTCCTTTCAATTCTTTAATGGTGCATTTTGTAATAGAGTATTAATGCTATTTATTAATGCTATTTATTTAAATATAGATTAGACAATATGATCTTTTCAATATGAAAAGATCATAGACTGTCTCTATCCTTAATTTCAAATTTTATATCATGAAACAGAAGCCTGTATGTTCCCTTTTCATTGGCTCTATTTATGCCCAGTTTAACTACATTTTGCTTGTGTGAACTTAGTAACTCAGGCATTTCAAGTTTGACATGAAACCTCTACTCATTCATTCATTTATCTATTTATTAGTCATATTTCTTTGCAGTCCACTCTCCGAGGACTCTGGGCGGTTTACACCAAAGACAGTACACTAAATAGCATATTGCCCCCAACAATCTGGGTCCTCATTTTACCCACCTCGGAAGGATGGAAGGCTGAGTCAACCTTGAGCCGGTGAGATTTGATCCACTGATCTGCTGAACTAGCAGTCAGCTGAAGCAGCTGCAGTACTGCACTCTAACCACTGTGCCACCTCGGCTTCATCTAAAGCTGGCTATGTAATTTGACTAAAACCTAGATTGCTCCAGCTGCTTTCCTCTGCTGCGGGTGTTTCACCATCCTCAAAGACTTTTGGGATGGTAAAACTCAAGCAGAAAGGAGGTAGATCCCCATGGATTTAAGTTATCTTAGAAAACTCAAACTGACATATCATATGAAAACAATTAATCAAGAGAAATTATGGTCATAGGTCACTTGATATATAGATTTTCAGTGATCACCAAATATAATTGCAAGCCTTTCTTTCTTTCTGTTTCTTTCTGTTTCTTTCTTTCTTTCTTTTTTTATAAATCAGGGTATTAATATTCATTTACAATGTCTTTTGTCTTTAATGTTCTAATATCCTTTCTGGTATTTTGAGTTAATCAAGTTTAAACAATTCTACTTCTAATGTTCTGTTTTTCAGTGGATTAAAAATACACTACTGTAATAGTGTATGTTTGTGTGTGGATGTGGGTGTACAATATTCATACATAGATATATGCATATACACACATATATTCATGTGTAAATTTACAGTATGTTGAATAGACCCAACTCTGTAGCCATGAGATATAACAACTTTTCTCCAAAAGGTTCTCATGATCTATGGATTCTCAAAGCTTTATATATTTTTAGACCTCATATTTAATGCATGAGACAAGAAAATATGCTATAGTGGGTAGCATGGGGAAGCAATATTAAATAATTTACCAAATCTCCTCCTCTGAGATCTGCTAATTTGTTCCACTAAAAATTTAATATCTTCTTGGCTCTAACGTATCATTCTCTTAGAAATAACTAATCTATTGTTTGTGGATTAAATAGATAAACCATTAAAGTCTGGCCCTTATACTGTCTTTAGAATCATTTCATTTTGTTCTATCTCTCTCTTTCTCTCTCTCTCTCTCTCCCTCCCTCCCTCCCCCTCCCCCCTCTCTCTTTTGAGAAGATCAAAAAATCAACAATGGCTAGAATGACAACAAAATCCTGCCCCTGGGGGAAAATACTGCATGTGCATATATGTGTGGCAGCGTAATATTTATAGAAAGAGCTTTGATATTTTGATACTTGAGCTGCAGTGGCGCAGTGGTTAGAGTGCAGTACTGCAGGCTATTTCGGCTGATCACCGGCTGCCAGCAGTTTGGCAGATTGAATCTCCCCAGGCTCAAGGTTGACTCAGCCTTCCATCCTTCCGAGGTGGGTAAAATGAGGACCCAGATTGTTGGGGGCAAAATGCTGACTCTGTAAACTGCTTAGAGAGGGCTGTAAAGCACTATGAAGTGGTATATAAATCTAAGTGCTATTGCTACTTCCAAAGATGCTGAAATTATAACTATATAGTTTGTTTTCCTGCCTTTCTGCAGGAAAAAATATATAATGAAACCTAGCCAGCTGAGTTCATCTTTTTATTTAGTCACTGTATATAGCTGGCCGCTCAGCACATGACTCCAGGCATCAGAATCTTGAAATGCTGTTGCCAGAAGATAGGGTTGTGGGGAATAGATGTAAAACTGCTTCAAACTCAAAAGGCAAGATTTTAACTGTAATCTTCTCAAAAAGATGGGATCTGTTTCCTATTAATTATTCTCATGGTATCTTTTATCTATCTTCTTAACGCAGCCTTGACAGTTTGATCAGTGATTAAGAGGCTGGATTAGGAATGGGGGAGCCTGAGTTCTAATCATGATTTAGCACAGAAGTCAACAGGATTAACATTAGGCTAGTCATTTTCTCTTAGCCCTCAGAAAATGGCAAAACTCTCCCAAAAATATTACATGTACTTGTACTCATTAAGAGTCAAGACCAACTCTGGAGCAATACAACAAATGCTGAGTATAAATATTTCAAATTGGGGAGCAGAAGATGAGACAGAATTAGTCGCTAATAGAAAAGATTCATAAATACTCCAGAAATCAGAATCTTTCAAAGATTCCTCCCTCCTGTAGAGCCCAGAATGAAAAATAGCAAAATAGCTTTCTAACTTTATCTCCACTGCTAAATGCCAAATTATATGTTTACACATTACTGTTCCAAAGGAAATGCACTTCTAAGCTAAACCCAGACAACTTTGGAAGTAGCAGAGGGTGTTAAACATTTCCTCCGTCATCATTTCCAGCTTATATGTACTCCACAGAGTCTTAACACATACTTTTTCATCTCTACTGCCCAGGGATGTGAATAGGAACCTTGGAGACAAGCTATCTGCTACAAACATGTTTGATCTTTCCTGGCTTACAGGAGCAGGAAGGACAAAGGAAGGGATGGATAAGCAAATAAATGTACGGTAGCAATATGAATACTTCTTACTCTAAAAAGCAAGGGGAAGATCGTAGTTTTTCCCTTTTGTTTTTTGTCTTACTCCTGCCAGATTATATCACTTTGGGTCAGCCTATAATCCTGTCATTTACATACAACAAAAATATATCAATCTATGAAGTCCCTCTTGGTTCTGATAAACTTCTACAGAAGGAGAAGGAAGAGGAAGAGGAAGAGGAGAAGAGAAAGAGAAAGAGAAAGAGAAAGAGAAAGAGAAAGAGAAAGAAAGAGAAGGATCTACTAACCAGTATCACAGTTTTCTGAACTGAAAAGCTTGGGTATAACTTGGATACAATTTTACACCAGCTGCAATTTTTTTGGAAGGGCAATTTCAGAAGATAGTTTTGGATATTCAGATGATTATTCATTATAGCATATCAAGATTGCAACTTGTTCCATACATTTAATATATGCATGGATACACATTGGGAGATTGTTCCAATTTTTGTAAATTGGTGCCGTTTATCCCAATTATATCCTCTCTTTAGAAATCTAAGGAGAGATATTCTAGTTCTAAATCACTGTCTAATGTCAGAAAGTAACTGGAGAGGAGCAAACAAATTAAATCACAGTATAGCAAAGACATTCCTGAAGGTATCAGTTTTGGCAATAATATAGGTTTGGTTGTATCTCATAACTACTATCCACAGCCAATCTAAAAAAGTGGAATGGTCAGGCTAGTTTGATAGACCAATAGAAATCCTAGGATTATATGAATCTGCTTTGAAAAGAATTTGGAAAATTCAGCTGATCCATGTCTCATTTATTAAAGCAATCACATGGTTGGTCTGATTAAAGTTAAATTAAATAACTTATCCTAACCTATAAATTCATACATGACTGAGACCAGAATAACCAAGAGAGAATATTTTTCTGTATGAGCCTTTCCATGCTTTATTATGTCAGAAAGACTCTCTTTTTTTCTTTCCTAAAGTATGGAAAGGCACATTTTGGGGGAATTCAAGAGAAAGATGTGGGTGAGTTGCTCCCAAGTTTAGACATCTTTGCCAGATTACCTACTGTTCATTGTCTTTCAATCAACAAGTAATTGCATTTATGTTCTGAAAAGTATTAATACTTTAGATGTTTGTTTGTTTGTTTTTGAAGTACAATTCAATTTGGTTTAGGGGGAGTACCATTTGTTTTGTCTGAGTTATATGTCCCAAAAGTGCTTTTTCAAAAGGCAACTGGACTTTGTTTTTTTCTTGAAAATGTTTAGCTTCTCATCTGAGAAGCTTCTTTAGCTCCAGTTGCCTTTTGAAAAAGCACTTTTGGGACAACCATGACCAGGTTGACTGAGATTTTCCACAGACATCTGAGCCATATGTTTTATTTTAAAAAAAAAATATTGTGATAGAATGAAAAGTTAAATACTGTACTTTCTACCATTCTTCATGCAGCTGATAATATGGGAATACAAAAGATGTAAAAAAAAAATTCTTTTCTTTTCCCACACAGAGAAAGGCTCTCATGAGAGAGGACGGGAAGTTAAAATAGACTAACAAGCTGGCAAGAAGAGCATTGCCATTGGACCTAGAGAAGAAAGAAAACATGACTAGCAGGCAAAGATGGAATTATGCAGTTTCATCACAATAAAGAAAAATAAGTTCCTCGGGGACTGAAGATCAATGAAATATGGTTGTCATTATAGTCACTATGCACTGAGGATAGTAGTAGCAGTATTAGATAGGATAGTAGACAGTAGTAGTAGGTAAAGCAGTATAGGATCAATCAATCACAGTCAGCCAAAAAGGGTAGATCCAAGAAAATATGGAGGTTCTGACAGATTGCTTGCTAAATGTTAATTGAAACCTTTGATGAATTCCGTGAGGAATTAGTAATATACTTTATTTAATAATACATATTTTGCAGTAGTTTAGGATAAGCACACTGTGATTGAAACAACAGTGTTACTATGGGAAGGGAGATAGTTTCCAAATAGTACAGCCATTCATCCCTGGATCAGTTTGCTGGATTCCACTCTTCTGAAGTTAGAAGCAGGAGGGAGAAGGGGAATGCTGCTTTTATAGTTGATCTTTTATAGATATACTTCTGTCTTTGAAATGTATATAAAAATGAGCTGCTTTACAAGAAAATTAAAAAAAAAACCCAAATAAGATCATTGGGTGCTGGGTTTTGTTTGTTCATACCTGAAGAACTCTCACAAGTATATTGGAAACAAGTTGATTTCTTGAAGTTTAATCAATCATCTGTTTCGTCAATCGCTTTGAATGCATTTTTCAAAACTAGTGACAATAATTCAAGGGACAAGGAAATAAATGAACGCTGCCCCAATTTCTCTACAACCAATCACTTTTATGGTGGTGTATAATAATCAAATTTAGTTTCCATTTGTGCCTTCCTATTATGTGTAGTTAGAAAAAATCCTGCTTAATTTAGAGCAGATGAATGAAAAATGCAAGGTTTCATTAATCCATCAGAAAGTTACTGACCTTCTTTAAAATGGATGGATGGGTGGATAGATGATTCATTGTTAATTTTCAATTTAATAAAAAAAAATCAATTCTGAATCAAGCACCCATCTTATCTCTTTCTTTTTTTGGGGGGGGTGTAAATGTACACCAAATAAATACCAAAATCTATGTTACTCTGCTCTAATCTTAGAGAGAGGAAAAGACAAAAGTTCACCTACACCATGAGTCCTGGTTAAACTTCCTTCTAATAATCATAATCTTTTCCTTTCTCTAACCCTAACCCTAACCCTAATCCTGCCATGAGGAAAAGAGAAGTACCAAAACGAGGTTCTTCATCTGAAGTGCTGTGAGGGAAAAAAACAATTAAACAAGAGCAACAGTTTTATTGCATAATAGTAACCATTATCTTTTACCACCCCACTTCTATTTCTGCTCCAGAAAAAAATTAATATCCAGGGAGCAGCCTCCCTAAAATCTCAGCACATACAGCAGATACAGAGAAGACCTCATTGCTTTCTTGAAACAGCAGATTGATTACTTGCAGTGAATTGTTTGACAAGATTTATTCCAACATTACTGTTGCTTAGCTTTTCAAAATCAGCTCACTAATTCAGAAAGAGAGAGAGATTTTCACTCACTGGCAAATCCTTTTACAAAGGGCACAAATAATGATGGAATAATGATGGAAAAGAGAGGAGAGGTTTGGTTTAGTTCAGATTCCCGCCCCCCCCCCCGAAAAAAAAAAAGGAGGAACAAAAGGATATGTGAAAATTGTATGAATCATGAAAACATATTCTCAGAGCACCCTCTTCTGGTTTATGGGGAAAGTGAGCTGCGTTTGCTGAACAACGTACCAGGGGAGACAAGAAATGTCATCTAGCAAACTTGGCTGCAATCTTTAAAAGCCCACGGACGGCTTGATAATTATCAAAAATAATAGCAAATAAGCATGCTTAGGGTGAATATTTCCCCAAACTTCCTTCAGGATGTAATAGAAATCATAATACAAGTACATCAACTCTTTGTAATAACTTTGAAAGAGATACAGTATATTCTATCTCTTTATAGTTAAGTATTAAGTATGCTGTGATGTGAAGTCATGAACTAGCTATAAACTTTTTCTCATACACCATTCAGGGGTATCTTTCTATATTTCTAGGCAGTAAGTAATTTTTCTATTTTAGGAGCAAATGGAGGTTGGCTTGCCAAAAGCTATGTGCCATTGTCCAAAATGGATTTCTAACATGGCTAAAATTAATGTCCTATCATCTAATCAATATTGCCTCTTCACTAGGGTGAAGTCATCTAAATCTACTAAGAAAATGAAATCTATCCCAGAAGCATGGAATTCTAGTGTTAATAAACTTTTAATGGACTTTTTCCTACCAGTTTTTAATTCAATTGTAGACCTGGAGAGAAAAATTAGGCCATCGGGTCCAGCCAAGAATACAAATTAAGCCCAGACAGATGGCTATCAGCCTTTCACATCCAATGTAGAGGAACCCATTAGAAGCTAGAAACATAGAAGATAGAATCCAACATAGTCTAACTGCCTCCTCAAGGCAGGAGACCTTATGCCATCCCTGTCAAATGGTTGTCCGTATTGGGTGGGCTGCTGGGGGTTCACAGGGGTTTGGGAGAACCTCTAGCTAAGATTCTGTGCAGTTCAGAGAACCCCAAAAATCCCACTTTTGGCTGGCTCCACCCACGCCATCCCGCCCCTCCCAGGAGTCCCATGGCCTGTTTTGGATGCAGGTAAGTGCAGGGCATGTGTGGAGGCTTGAGGGGAGCGAAAAATGTTATTTCCAAAGGGCAGGGACTCCGACAGAGAAGGCTCTCCCCCTGGATGTCGTCAGCTGACATAATTTGGCCGACGGCACCCTGAGGAGTCCCGCTCTGTGGGAGCGAACTGGTCGGTGGGAGGCTATCGGTGGCAGAAGGCTGTCTCATAGGTACCCAGGTCCTGAGCCATGGAGCGCTTTAAAGGTGGCAACCAACACCTTGAATCGCACCCGGAAGACCACTGGGAGCCAGTGCAGCTTGCGCAGGAAAGGTGTTACATGGGCGCAACAAGTTGCACCCATAATTACCCGCGCAGCCGCATTCTGGACCAGTTGGAGCCTCTGAGTGCTCTTCAAGTGGAGCCCCATGTAGAGAGCATTACAGTAGTCCAGCCGGGAAGTAACAAGGGCGTGAGTGACTGTGCGCAAGTGAACATTATAAATGTAAGTATTAGTCATACAGTTACATTTTCATCCCGGAGTCTTTCCTTTGTATTTGTAGGGGAAGGCTACAAAAAAATTTATATATTCATTACAGATTTATTACACATCTATTCTTCCTGCCTGACCTTCAGCAATCACTATATTTATTCCATGTCCTTGATTTATTTTCTTGCTGCTTACCTGTTTCTGGATTTGTTTAATTAGCTTAAACATTGTGTTGTTAGAATAAAGTTTAAAAACATGCTAAATAATTAATAACATAGCTTAATTTGCTATCCAGGAAGACCAATAGTTATAAACATAAATGATTTCACCAGTATAACTAAATAAATAAATAACCCTGCCCAATTACAAGTGAGATTCAAGCATGTGCATGGGCAGGGGAAAAAAAGCTTTTAATTTCTCTTCTGAAAGTAATATGCAGTTCATTTTATTTGCATTGACTTGCTTGTTTCTTGTCCTTTAATCACCACCTCATTTAATGTTGGTGTCTCGTTCATTTTGTATCCATGTTGACCTCAATGGCTGACGGTGAGGTTGATGCTGATAACATTCACTGGGATTACATCTGTCATATGTCAAAGGTAAAATAAAATGTCCATGTTTTATATGCAGCCAAAGTAAGGGTAACCTCTACCAAACAGCTCACTATTGCTTTATTCTTTTTGTTGGACAATTTACTTGGCTTGTCATTTTTAAAACACCCCAATGTCCTCCCTAACACAGAATACTCCCTGAATGTCTCAGTTTGCTAAATAATGTAATGCAGCTGCTCTTGTGAGTGACAGGAGTGATATAACAATAACTGACTGACAGGAATAATCATAGTTAGCTATAAGAAACAAAAAGAATGACCTTGTGGTCATTTCTTCACTTACCTCAAAATGTTACATTTGTTTTTTTTATAGAAACAAATTAGACAAGTTAAAAATTGGAAGGCATTTATTTTAGGTTTGCCATACTATTTTCTATATTGGCCAGATACTTTTCTCATGCTGTTTGTATGAATTTGTTCCCTTAGATTATCATGTTTTTCATTTGTGTTACATTTTACCATATATAAAAAATAATTTAACATATATTGGAAGTAATGGTTATCAACTTTTTATAAGCCACATAAGGAATATGATTAAGAAATAGTATAAAATATGTTAGATAGATATATGAAAGATGCATGGATAAGATAGATATTCTCAAAAATCAGATATCCTCATGGTCACTCATGCCCTTGTCACCTATTGGTTAGATTATTGCAACGCGCTCTACATGGGGCTACCCTTGAAAAGTGTTCAGAGACTACAGTTGGTCCAGAATGCAGCCGCGCGAGCTGTTGTGGGTGCACCTAGGTACACCCACATTACACCAATTCTCCATGAGCTGCACTGGCTCCCTATTGGTCTCTGGTCACAATTCAAGGTGTTGGTTATTACCTTTAAAGCCCAGGGTATCTTCGAGACCACCTTCTACTGCATAACTCCCAACGACCGGTAAGTCCCACAGAGTTGGCCTCCTCCGGGTCCCGTCAGCTAAACAATGCCAGCTGGCGGGCCTGTTGGGGGGGGCTTCTCTGTGGCTGCCCCAGCTCTCTGGAACCAGTTATTTCCTGAGGTCTGGACCATCCCCATCCTATTGGCCTTCCAAAAAGTGGTGAAGACCTGGCTTTTCCGGCAGGCCTGGGGCCAATGATCTTGCTCTTGTGATCCGGCAAGATCCGGCCATGAATGGTGTGAATGAGTTTTAATGTTTTTAATGTTTTTAATTTTTAAATGTTTTTTATAATGATTTTAAATGCATTGTGAGCAGCCCTGAGTCTTCAGAGAGGGACGGCATACAAATTGAATAAATAAATAAATAAATAAATAAATAAATAAATAAATAAATAAAGGATGAAAAAAGGATGAAGTAAATTATCTTACTTAGTATTGTTCTGGTAGTACCCAATGCCATTGTACCTGAATCATTGTAGTTTAGGACTGAACTCTGGGATCCTTGGTGCTCTCTGACCTTGGTGTGTTTTTGCAGACATTTCATTACCAAACTAGATAACATCATCAGTGCTAGTAGGGAGTGAGGTTTTCTGAGAACATCCAAGACCACTCCCACCAACACTGACATGGCAAGCTGTTAGTATATAAAGCAAGAACCAACCCTACAACCTACTAGCAGTAATGTTATCTACTTTGATAGTGAAAATGTCAGGGTTCCAAGTAACATCCCCAACCAATCTGCAAGAAAACAACCAAGCTCAAGAATTACCAAGAACCCCAGGGAAAGATGGAGATGTGGGTCTTTTACAAGCACAAGACAAATTAATATGTCCTCTCTCCCATTGCAGTGGTTCAGTTTATATGCAATACAGTACTGCAGAAAAATAAGAGCTGGAAGAGCAATATCCAAATTACCCATTGATTGTT